TCCTGTCATTTTTCTGCAGGAAAATCTGATCTTTCCCACTCAATTGGAACTCAAACCTCCCTCATAACGTCTCCCAACTGACAGTTAACATTTCTTCACTGACCACTACCTTCAACTGAATACAGTTGGAATGTATCTATTCCAGGCCCTGTCTATAGCTATTAAAGACAATCGTCTAGCCTGACTTGGATGAGAACCTGACGGGTTATTTGAGCATCACCTCAAAGGAGAGGCGAGCCTTTAAGACACTTCACAAGAGAGTTTCTGAGAGGAAGATTAAGAACAGAGAAGGGCTTTCCATCTTAAATTAGGGAGGTTCAATCTTTGAGTTAAACTCTTGTTAAACTCTCCTTGGAAGAGATTTGGTGGAATGTGGGGAGGAGAGAACACATCAACAAGACCAGGCTCTCTCATCTCACTGACACATTCAGATCTGCATTCCCCTTCAGTGGAAGTAAATCCAACTGAACTTGGGGGAACTAGCTTCGGAGGAAGCCTGGTTAGAGCTGGGGGATATTTCAGTACCATCTGATTATTTGACATTTGATGTCTTTACTGGGTATTAAGGTGCTGGTGGATAGTTAGCCTTTCTTTGAAGTCTTCTTTGTCAAAAGCAGCAAAGAGATGAGAAGCAAGTCCGCCAACAATAAGGTGACCAGGTTGGTAGTATTCATGTGGAATTCTGGACAGATCATGGACAGTGCAACTCGTGGTATGTTTGCACAACAGATGTGGCAGATGAAATAGAAGGGGCACAAACAGCAGCATATTGAAGCACATATTCTTTCTCATCAAACAGCAATATTTCCATCCAGCACATAAAGCTCGCTTCACAACCAACCTTAGTACAATATTCTGCCTTATCATGAATATCACTTCTCTAACAATTCACAGATTAAAATTCTATTTTATAACTTGATTAAGAGAAAGGTAAAGATCCTTCCTCTTCCTCTGTCCTCTCCCTTGCAAAGAATGGCAGGAAGAGGTTATAATACCCATGTTTCGACATTGGTTAGTATTCTCTAGAAATCTACTGAGACATTATCAAAGTGATACTTAGCCATTCTGAGAGTGATAATTATAGTTGAGATAATTACAAGCATAAGAAAATGCCCAAACGTAATAATAATAACCCTGTTTCTGATGTTTCATTCAAAGTTCTTTCTGACTGTTTATGGGACTTCAAAAGGGCACGCAGAATTAACAGCAAAGAGGAAGAGAAAAACAGTGTGCCAATCTCTTATCAGTGCTGACCAGTGGAAATGATTACTCTGACCTCCTAACATTTCCCACCTGAACACAAGTTCATTAGTTTTCTGACAATTATACCGAGACGAAGGAATGGTGAAAAGGACAACTATTTGTTTTCCTGATAGAAAAGCACCTCACAACTAATTGGAGGGAGTAATACAGTGGTGCCTCGCAAGACGAAATTAATTTGTTCCGCGAGTTTTTTCGTCTAGCGAATTTTTCGTCTTGCAAAGCACAAAATCCCATAGGAATGCATTGAAAATCAATTAATGCGTTCCTATGGTCAAAAAAAGTCGAAACAAAGCCAAATTTGGTACAACAACAGTTTATTAACTGCTCTTTAAAGTCACACATACTGTAAAGAGCAGTTCAAAAATTGAAGGAAAAATAAATTAAGTTTCTAAACATGACAGAAAAACATTTAAAAATCAACAAAGTGTACAGTACATTTTCTAAGACTCTGGGGGACCACTCGAAGAAGGCTCCTCTTCCACTCTTTGCTTCTTGCTCAAGAACCTGTCCATAGTCTGCTGCTTCATCCGCCTTTTCAGCACCTCCCTGAAAGGCGACATGACCCTCGTATCAAAAGTGTTCCCAAGGTCATGTGCCACGTGCTTGTCAGGGTGGTGCTGCTCTGCAAAAGCCTGCACCTCCTTCCACTTCTGGCAAATGTCCCTCAGTTTTTCGGAGGACAGCCGTTCCTCAGTTGCTTCCTCCTCTTCCAGCGAGGCCCGCTCCTGCGCAGCCTCTGCCTGCAGTTCGACCAGCTCCTGGGTAGTCAGCTCGTGGTCGTGCTCCTCCACCAGCTCGCAGACATCCTCCTCTGTGACCTCCAGGCCCATGGTCCTCCCCAAGGCAACAATGCCCTGCACCACTGTTGACTCTGGTGCATCAGAGTCACTTGGTGCCACACAGTCCGGCCACAGGCTGCACCAAGCACAATTCAAATTTCTCTGGCTGATCCCGTTCCAGGCCGTGGTGATCATCTTCAAGCAGGTGACGATGTCAAAGTGGTCCTTCCAGAATTCCCGCAGGGTGATGGTGGTGCAGTCAGTCACCTTGAAGCATTGCCTGAAAAGCTCCTTGGTGTAGAGTTTTTTGAAATTGGCGATGACCTGCTGATCCATCGGCTGCAGCAGTGGCGTGGTGTTAGGCGGCAGGAACATGATGTTGATGAAGCTGAACTCCTCCAACAAGTCCACCTCAAGGCCTTTAGGATGAGCAGGAGCATTGTCCATCAGAAGCAAAGCCTTCAGCGGCAGGTCGTTGTCCAGCAGGTACTGCTTGACAGCAGGGCCAAAAGCAAGATTGACCCAGTCCACAAACAGCACACGTGTGACCCAAGCCTTGCTGTTGGATCGCCACATGACACTCAGCCGCTCCTTGTCGATCTTGTGTCTCTTGAAGGCCCGTGGGTTCTCCGAGTGGTACACCAGCAGGGGCTTGATCTTCAGGTCGCCGCTTGCGTTGGCACAGAAGAGCAGGGTCAGACGGTCCTTCATGGGCTTGCGGCCAGGCAACTTGGACTCCTCCTGAGTGATGAAAGTCCTTTTGGGCATCCTCTTCCAAAACAGCCCGGTCTCATCACAGTTGAAGACCTGCTGTGGAACGTAGCCCTCCGTCTTCACAAACTCCAGGAACTCCGCTGCAAAGTCTTCAGCTGCAGGAACATCAGAACTGGCAGCCTCTCCATGCCTGACCACGCTGTGGATGCCAGATCTTGTCTTGAACCGATCAAACCAACCTCTGCTTGCCTTGAAGACTTCTGGCTCGTCTGAGGTTCCTGGCTGTTCCCGGATGAGGTCAGCGTGCAAGGCCTTGGCCTTCTCACAAATGACGGCCTCAGTCACTGTGTCCCCTGCACGCTGCTTCTCTTCTATCCAGATGAGCAGCAACTTCTCGACCTCCTCCAGAACAGCTGGGCGGTTCTTCACGATCCTGGTGACTCCCTTGGCTGCATCAGTCGCCAGGATCTTCTCCCTCATCTTCAGGATGGTCCCGATGGTTGATGGATTCCTCCCGTACTCCCTGGCGAGGTCCGTCACACGCATTCCGCCGTCGTGCTTCCGGATGATCTCCTTCTTCATTTCCAGCGTCACCTTCTCCTTCTTCCTCTCGCCGGCCTCCGCAGCAGCAGTCTTCTTGGGTCCCATGGCAGCACAGCTCCTACCTTCGTAAACTCAGAAAAAGAAAAAGAAAAAATCAGTGATGTGCTTCAAATCCAAAAAATTCAAAAGCACCCAGCCACCCACCACACAGAAATTAAAACCCAGAACCAAGTCCTTGAATCCCAAACACCCCAACCCCAAATCCAAAAACCCCCAAAAAAGTTTTAAAAGTTTAACTTACGAAATGGATGCAAAAGCAGTTCTGGAAAAGCTTCAACAATCAATCACCGAAGTCTTCAGAAACCTCAAATGGCTGCAAAATAAGTTTTGGAAAAGCTTCAAAAATCACCAAAATCTTCAAAAACCTCAACTGCTCCCCCAGCCCCTCCCCAACTGCTGCAAACCCCTCCCCAACTGTTCCCCCACCCAGACAAAAAAAATTTCAAAAAATAACAACATGGCCCAATGGTCCCAGATTCCTGCAAACCCCTCCCCAACTGTTCCCCCACCCAGACAAAAAAAATTTCAAAAAATAACAACATGGCCCAATGGTCCCAGATTCCTGCAGAAAACTCTCCAACTGTTCCCCCAGCCAGCCAGCACACAGAAATTTTAAAACCCAATTTTTTTTTTTTGAAAAAAAAAACAACCTGGCCCAATGGTCACAGAAAATCATAAAAATTCAAAAAAAAACCCCACAAGCTCCCAGATTCCTGCAGAAACCTCCCCAACTGTTCCCCCAGCCAGCCAGCACACAGAAATTTTAAAACCCAAATTTTTTTTTGGGAAAAAAAACAACCTGGCCCAATGGTCACAGAAAATCATAAAAATTCCAAAAAAAACCCCCACAAGCTCCCAGATTCCTGCAGAAACCTCCCCAACTGTTCTCCCAGCCAGCCAGCACACAGAAATTTTAAAACCCCAATATTTTTTTTGAAAAAAAAAACAACCTGGCCCAATGGTCACAGAAAATCATAAAAATTCAAAAAAAACCCCACAAGCTCCCAGATTCCTGCAGAAACCTCCCCAACTGTTCCCCCAGCCAGCCAGCACACAGAAATTTTAAAACCCAAATTTTTTTTTGGAAAAAAAACAACATGGTCCAATGGTCACAGAAAATCATAAAAATTCAAAAAAAACAACAAAACCCACAAGCTCCCAGATTCTCGCAACCCCCCCCCAACATCAAGTCCTTGAATCCCAAACACCACAACCCAAAATCCAAAAACCCCCAAAAAAGTTTTACTTACCAAATGGATGCAAGAGAAGTTCTGGAAAAGTTTTGGAAAAGCTTCAAAAGTGAGCAAAGTCTGAAAAAAGGCTACCAAACTGCGTGCTAACAGTTGCTCCTCGAAGTCAAGTCGCAACTGCAGCTGTTCAAGCTAAGCACCCTTTGTTTTAACGGTTTTTAGACAAAGGAAACAAAGTTGCAATGACCACAGGCATCCCCCACTGCACACGATAAATAACCAAATAATTTAATTAATATCCAGTTATGGAGGGAGAGTGCTGGAGAGTTCCCATGGCTTGTGAGGGCAGAGACTGGAGGTGCAGCAGGGGGTTGTTTACGCTACTCAACCCACCCACCCACCCCCGCCGGACAGCTAATGTGCATAGAAGAGCAGCAGAAGCAGCAACTTTCCCCACACATCCTCCAGTCAGCCCCCAGAATTCCAGATGTGGGTATTTTAGGTGCAGTATTTTTTATCCGGAATGGAGGGAGAGCAGCAGAGAAGACATTCAAAGGGTTTTAGATCGTGCTCCCCACTTCTCCAATCTTCATTTATGTATGTGAGCCACTTGAACATAACCCCCAAGTAAGTGGGACTCGGTGTACTGAAATCTCTGAGACTGGATAATCATGACAGTAGCAACTCTACTGAAACCTTACTGAGACGGAAAAAACCTAGAAAGGAATGAGAATTTTTTTAAAAAATGCCGCTCAGTGTATTGTTTTTTCTTGTTCAGTTTCTAATCAATTACCCTCTGAATTTCTAGTCAGGTCTCAATATTTTATGGTACTGATGGTTTCCAAAATAATGCTTAGGGTTAAAACAAGATAAGGGGCTCCTGTTTCAGAGAGACCATATTTTGGTTTTAAGAGAAATTGCACATAACAATTGCAACATGTAAAATATAACAGAATTTAATGGTGCGAATAAAGAGAGATTACATTGCTCATAGTTTGGTGGAAAAAACCAAAGAATGAAAGGATAATTTATTATTTCCTCTTTATTAAGCACTCCTTGCTGTTCAGATCAGGCCTCAACACAATGATGTAGCATTTGGGAGCAAAGATGGAGCCCAGTAAGCCAGCACTGGAGGCCAAGATGGAGAAGATCTCCACAGCCACCATGTATTTCCCCTTGGTGCTCAGGTACACTGGAACAAAGGAGATCCAAACACTACAAAACAAGAACATGCTGAAGGTGATGAATTTGGCCTCATTGAAGCTCTCAGGCAGTTTTCGGGCTAAAAATGCTACAACAAAGCTGATAATGGCCAAAAAGCCCATGTAGCCCAGGACACAGTAAAACAGGGCAACTGACCCTTCGTTGCAGCCTAGAATGATTTCCCTCATCACAGAGTGCATGTCAGAATCAGGGAATGGGGGAGAGGTTCCTAACCACACGGTGCAAATGCCCACTTGGATAAGGGAACAAGAAAACACAATAGAGCTTGCCAGTCTTTTCCCCACCCACTTCCTCATTCTGGATCCTGGTTTGGTGGCCACAAAGGCCAGAACCACTGTGATCGTTTTGGCCAGAACACAAGAAACAGTTACTGTGAAAACAAGGCCGAAAGCCATTTGTCGGAGCAGGCAGCTCACTCTTTCTGGAGGGCTGAGGAAGATCAATGGGCAGAGGAAGCAGAGCAGGAGGAAAGTGAGGAGAGTGTAGGTGAGGTCCCGATTGTTTGCTCTGACAAGTGGTGTGTTCTGATGTTTAATGAAGATGACTAGGACCACCAGTGTGAGGAGAGAGAGAGAAAGAGCAATCAATGCTAAGCTCATCCCCAGAGGCTCTTTAACCGACAGGAAGCTGATGGTCTTTGGAACGCATTGTGATTGGTTTCTGTGTGGATAGTGATCTTCGGGGCATGCAACACAGTCAACCATGTCTGGAAAGAAAATAATCGTTCAGATTTTGGATGTGTTGCAAAGCAACTGCTAACGCTGCCAGTATGGAACTGATAATGTTAAATTAGAGGTATCACACATACAGTGGTGCCTCGCAAGACGAAATTAATCCGTTCCGCGAGTCTCTTCGTCTTGCGAAGCACGGCTATTAGCGGCCTAGCGGCTATTAGCGGCTTAGTGGCTTACCAGCTATTAACGGCTTAGCAGCTTAGCAGCTTTAAGAAAAAGGAAACAAACTCGCAAGAACTCGCAAGATGTTTCGTCTTGCAAAGCAAGCCCATAGGGAAATTCCTTTTGCGGAACGACTCAAAAAACGGAAAACCCTTTCGTCTAGCGAGTTTTTCGTCTTGCAAGGCATTCGTCTTGCGGGGCACCACTGTATTTCCAGAGTAACCTGATTGAAAGTCATGCATGAGAACCCCACCTCAGAACATAGCTGTCAACGTTTCCCTTTTTTAAAGGGAAATTCCCTTATTCCGAATAGGATTCCTCGCAAGAAAAGGGGCAAGTTGACAGCTATGCCTCAGAACTTTGTGTTGGGTTATGTACATGGCTATCAACCTTCCCTTTTTTTGCGGTAAATTCCCTTATTCCAGCACCGCTTCCCGCTGCTTCCCCGGATTGTCAGATATCCCGTAGACTGTTCCCGGGACAGGTGAGGCTGCTGATCTGTTATTTTCGAGGCTGCTGATCCCTTATTTTCAAATGTGAAAGTTGACAGCTATGGTTATGTGGGGTGTCCTGTAATGGCTTGCTAACTCCACATAAATACATTGTTATTGATCAAAACAGGTACACTCCGTGACCATTTTCCACAGGGGTTCCATTCTCAGCCCCTTCCACCAGCACCCCCAATGCTGAACCCATTGCAACTTCCTCGGGTGCACAATTGTGCATCAATCAGATGCATGTTTATTTGTGAATTAAGGAAGTCCTGAATTAAGGAAGGTGTCTCATACTAAGTCATATCACTGGTGCATTTAAGTCAGAATTGCCTGCTGTATTTTAACCTGTGACAAAGATTACATCATGGGTGACAAACCGATTCTTTTTAGGAGTGGGTCCCTAATCCTTTATGGGGGCTACCTGTCAATAGGTATGGAGGAGAAATTTGGTTTTTATTCCACTTGAATGAGAAAGATATCTAAATTGCACTCCTTGAATCATTATATATCCTGTGTCTCTTACCCTTTTCAGATGAAATCTTGCCTTGAGGACATGGAGCACAACCATAGCAGCAGAATGGCTCCCCCTCCTTCTTCTCCTTCCTGGAACCAGGAGGGCAATTTGGGTTACATACCGAAAGGGGTGGACCCTGCTCATTTAAAGAAACAGATAAACCGTTTAGTACAAAGAAGTAAGTAGCACTTTTGGTTTCTTTTTTCTTCCAGCTGGCAGTAGGAAGACACCAAACTACTTATTCAAAACACAGTGCCAGGCTACTCATTTGGCTCTTCATGGTTCAACAACTTTCAGGGTGTAGCCTTCTTAGACTTTACCGATTGGTTGGGTGAGCGTTGCTCCCGGAGAGGGAGGAAAGTGTCAAAAGACACCGAGGTTGCTTCAGAGGAAGAGTTCTTGATTTCTGCTCTCTGGAGCAGCAGAAAGGCACTTGCGTGGTCAGTTCACAGCAAGAGCACTTAAAGAGCGGTTACACACAGCTTATATACCCTTTCTGGTCTCCTTGCCCCCTCCCCAGGAATCCAGCCACGTCAGCTTATACACGTAAGTTGAAATCCATGATCACAAACAGATGTTCCTGTACTCTTGACCATAAAAGGATGTTCCTGTTCCTGTATTCCTTATCTTGGGGTAAGAAGGTCACTAACTCTAAGAGCACTCCTGGCGCCATCCCCGAGTGCGGGGGTGTCTTGCAAGGTCTGTGTGTCAGCGTGTCAGGATATTTACAACCCACAAGATAGGATAAGCCCCAGCTCTGCCATCCTGTTTCCACTTTGGAACTGACAAGGCCATCCATTAAAACGTCACGTACTGATAAAGGAGAGGGCTTTGTTTATAAAGCTGGGTTTGTGCTAAACAGCTCAGGCTAATGGATTTTAGCTAATGGATCTTGGAAGAATAAATTTGGGAGGCTTGGGGCCCGTTTCAGACTGACTGCACAGTCAGGTTTTAGATTTGAGAAACCCATTCCTTTAAGGGGGTCCTGAAATATGTCAACCCTAGTATAATTGAAAAGTGTGGTAGCTTGGGTGTGATTCACCCCCCCCCCCATTAAGTCTAAGAAACGCATTAGAGGAATGTTTTCGGCTGGTGCCTAAAGATACAAAGGGAGGTGCCAGGCAAGCCTTCTTGGGGAGGGCTGATTCTTCTCCTATCTAAGAAGCCCCTTTCCTCATTCTACACTTGGTGACAAAGAACAGCTACCCGCAAACTTCCACAGCCCCTACTTCCTTCTCAACCAACAGCATTTCAACTGCAAACAGCAAATCCCTTCTTCTTCCCAAGAGACTCATGAAATACACTGTGATGGCCAATTCTGCACTAGTTGGGTATTGATCTGAGCCAGCAAGATCTTATGTTGTGATTCCTGCATCGCAGACCACATGACTTCCAACTCCAAGATTCTATGATTCTTACACAGTTTAGAGAAAAAGTGTTTAGAATCTGGCTGGAAAGGCAGGTATGTGCTGGACTGATGATCTGTAAGTAGAATAACATTCTCTTTTCCTATCTCTCATAACTGTAGGAATTAAGCCTCACCTGGTGAAAGCTTCTGTGCCACACCATTCTGTTGTCCTCAAGGGTGAATTCCTGGCCTGCGGCAGCCTCCCCACCCAGTCTTCCAACCTTGACTCTCATGAAGGAGTTATTTGGAAAAGTGACCAGGTTGGTAATATCAAAGCCAGCTTCTACTTCTCTGTTCATACTAAACGATTCTGTTTCCCCAGCAGAGTTGTTAAAGGAGACACTCCTAAGAAAGGGGTGGAGCTGCATTGAAAGAAAAAGAGTAACTTTGAAGTAATGCAAATGTCTCTCCTTTCTCACATTCAGGATGCCTCCAGACAGTCAACACAGGGAGGTAGTGCCATGCAAATATAATGTTTTCTGAGAAATGGTTTGTAGGATGAGAATTCACATATTGAGCCAATGATCTCCATTGCTTCCTATGGGGAAAATTCCAATGCATGTCTGATCATGTTTGGATATCCACACACACACACACACACACACACACACACACTGCCTAACTAGCCTCATATAACCTTCATTCTTGTGTCTAACAAATACATAAAGGGTTTAATGTCGTAGAATAAGGTGTTCTGACACGCTTGGCCAATGTCCCTTCCCCTTACCTTGGGAAGAAATGGGCAACAAAGCCTATTGTTGTGTTCACTCTATATGTGAAATTTGTTTGTGGGGAGTTCTGAACTGCTCCCTGCAGCCGCATGGAATTAAGAAGTCTGTTTTTCATATAAGAATGTAATCTGAAACTACCATTTTCTATACCAATAAAAAGTTTCGGAACTTTTATCATTTTGTCTTCTACTTCTGCAACATTTTTATGAGTGTTGTGTTCCAAAAAACTGTTGAACTTTAAAGAGTTTTGTAAGCAAGCCATGTTACGACCTGCTAAGCTTGTGATCTATTTTTGTGCTAGGAAAGTGGGATCTTCTGGAATTCACTGGAAAGGGCATATTTTAAGGTTTTACATCCTGTATTTCCATGCTTCTGTTTGCTGCATGTTTTCCCATACACAGAAAGGAAGTTGCTCACAAAAAACCTGGAGAGTGCAGGATTGGGTCCCCTGCTAAACAGCTGTAAGCAGAACAGTCTGATTCTTCACTGAGCTGGTCCTCAATGAACAGCCTCTCTGCACACAAACGGGGAATGTGGAGCTTACAATTTTTCAGGGTACTGTTTTACATATCACTGCCTATGTCAAATAAATGATATCTCATGACAGGCATTACCTGCCAAGGCCGAAACTCCTGCATCCCTCCTTCCACCATTCTCCTATATTTGGCTCCAGGCAGGAACATGGCATGTAGAGCATGTGCTACGGCATAGACAGCAGTATAGAGACTGTAGCTGTGGCCAGACATGGTCATCTCAAAAGCAGACGAAGGGAGATTTTCCAGCTTCTCCTCTCCAGTGCAGGTTCCACTGGCCTGCTCCTCTGTAGTGGAATTTGGAAATAAACAGAGAAATACTTCTGCCCAGAACTGCTTCACAAAGTAATTTCCATTTGCCTCAAAAGGATTTTGTGCTTGAAGAAAGGCTTTGAATCCTTGTAGCACATTTGAATGAACTGCAAAGGAAAGGGAACCCTGAAAGATTTGCATATCCAGGCTCATTTGCAAGGGCGGTGCTGTGAACTCCAGCTGTGCCGTCAGAATCCACACCTTGCCCACAGATGTCTTGGTCACATTTTCCATTTCACCTAGTGCTACCATTGTTTGCAAGGCAAGCATGGACTTTGTTCCTCCATAGACAACCACCACCTTGGCTTTACTTTCCATAATAGCTTGATAAATTTGGACCAACTGGAAATGCATGCTTATTATATCAGCCAAGTATGTCATTTTCTTGTTTGTCTCTGCGAAGGCCAAGCAAATACCTTTCTGGGAAAGCAGAGGTTTCAGCGTCTGAATAAATTTCTCTCCACTTTCTGCTGCAAGCAACCCAACCCACGTCCAACCAAAGTGGAGAAGTAACTCAACAATCCCTGTGTACTGATGGGCTTCATTGGGCACCATCCGGTAGAAGGGAGTGGATTGGCTTTGACCAGCGTCCTCTGGGGCAAAGGAGCCATAAGTGAGCTAAAGGGAAATAAAGGAGCATCATCTATAATTGCAGAAGGACTGGGCATGTGCATACAGGGCCTGCCCACTCAGGAGGAAATATGAGCAAGTTGCCTCAAAAAAGCAGTTTCCAGAAAGCAGGGAGGGGTGTGTGGAATAATAATAATAAATAAATAAGAGCAGTTATGACCATGCCTGCCATGAGACACTGAGGTTCTGTTTTTGAACTCTTTGCTCACAAGAGATTCGCAAAGGGCCCCCTCTGAAGAACTTCTTATCTGTGCAAAATAATTTATTACAACCTGATTTTAATTGCTGGAGACACTAAAAAGGAGACATAGCAGCTGTGAGGAGTAAATGGGCTAGCTGAATTGGATAATCCTCCCAAAGAGGCTCCTTTCCTTGTTAAAGTTGCCACTAGATGGCTAGGAACAGCGTTATCTATGAAAGAATGTTTTTGAAGCCCACACTGACCCTGGAGAGTTGATAGATGTATAGGTCTGGGTGACTCGGAATGGCAGAGAATAGCTCAGAGAGCATTGTGCATGCTTAAAAGCTTCATGAATATTAGTAAACACGCCCCAGGCGGAGATACAGCTTAATCGTGTCCTCCCTTAAAGAGGGCATGTGTTGCAGTGAGTCCTGGAATCCGATCCCGTGTTGTGAGTGGGTTAGATTGGTCAGCCACAACACCCAATTGGTAGGTCCCTTGATGCTGGGTTCAATCTGGCCAATGGGGCACAGTCCAAATGGATCAAGGGACCTATATATGCCTATGCACATGACCCAGAGCTTCCTCTTTTGGCGCATGCATTCGGAACACCCGCCCACCTCTTCCTACTTTAGGGCTTGTTGCACTTGACCTTGGTATGCTGTGTGTCGTCTGTCATTGGGACAGGGGCACGGCAGGAATTTCCCCCACTTGGCTGATTGGCTGTTGTCATTTGGGTTTCGCCTGCCACCTAGCAAATTGTCACAACTTGTAAGATTGTGGATAGGCTCTGGTTCGGGTGATGGGGTGGAGGAACGCTCTCACCATTCCTATGTGAAGGGTATTCTGTTAAAGGAATCCAGGGACTCAAATGGTTTGGTCAACCCCTGTGAGGGGGTTGTGCCCATGCCTGAGTCCAGAAGGACAGCTTGATGGCGGACATTGTCCATTCCTGACTTTTCGCCTATCCAGGTTTCACCCTTGGCTGACCTATGCTGGAACCCTGGGTCAGCGCTACCTGCATGGCAGGGAGCTAGTCCAACCAGAGCCTATGCAACCACTCACTTTCTGTAATCTATAAAGTTGAGACCTAAATTCTGCCCAAAACCAAAATCAAAATTTGAGTCAAGTGTGAATTTATTTAGGGAGGTGGTTTCTGGGTCTGAACACTCAATTTACATGAACATGGGGTGTATGTAAATGGACATGGGATGTATGTAACAGTTGGGAGCACATATCAAGAAGAAGACATGAAGAAGGCATATCAGAAAAGTATGTAACTACAGTTTCCTGACCAATAGGATACTGCAGGAAGTAATTTTGGACTGGTTAGGAGTGGGG